CGTGTGAAAAAAAAAAAAAACGCTTGGCGATGCCGCCTGCTGCCGACGACGCGTTGATAGCGGCTCACTTCCACACCACGGGGCCGGAGTGGCCCCGTCGGATGGAAGTGAGCGTGATCGGTGGACGACGATGGTGATGGTGATGATGACGGCGGCGATAAGTGGCGACGGGCAGCCCGCCGCAACGTTTGAGTGTGCGGTGTCCACAAGTGGCTGACGGCGGTGGTGGTGGCGGAGCGGGGCGGGGGGCCGTGTGGCCATCTGGCCATCTGGCAGATCTAGTCGGTGATTTCCTGCTGCTCGGATGAGCATTGAGGCATTGGTGCTCATCTCATGTGTGCGCACCCTCGCAGAGCCAGCGGTGAGACATCCACATTCCCGTGGCAGGGGCGAGTCTGTCCGTAGAACAAAACTCGCTGTTGACCTCCCACCCGAAGTGGTGCTCATTCCGTCGCCCAGGGGAGGGACGACGGGCCAAGTCGACGCCACAGAAGAGATCGTCTAGACAGGAGATGGAGATACAGCGGGGATGAGCGAGTGGTAGAAATGGATAGATGCAGCGAGTCGAAAGAAGTGAGATGCGGATGAGTCCGAGACGAGAGACAAAACGTGGGGTTCGATGAGAGAATATGCAGACAAGATATGGATGAGAGAGATTCATTGGCTCGTGACATGGATTAGATATGATGAGATTATGATATACATATTTAAAATAAGACAAAATACTTTTCCGCGGATACGACTGGGGGTCCTTGCTCTTTGCTTGCGCCCAGCACGGCCACTGGCAGCGCCGGCGGTTCTGTTTGAGGCTGTGGGAGTTGCGAGGCGATCGTTTCACGGCTAACGTTCGTTGGCAAACATTATTTCCCTCTATCAGAATTGCCCCACCTTCCGCCCACGTGAAACACGTGCTTTTGCCTTTTTGTTGTTGTTCGACCTTCCTCTCCGCGACGCCCCTGCAGGCGGATCTTTCTCGTTCGTATCCGGCCGATAATTGTTGGGCCATCTCTGCGTCCCGCTCTCGAGGGCCACATTAAAGGAGGAGAAAACAAAAGCGTCTCAAGAGACTTTCTCTCCGACCTGATGAGGCAATCCAGCCACGCCGAGGCCACTCTGAACCCGCCCGTGCGCAGTGCACAGAGAAAGCGAGAGATAGTGGGGGGTGGGGTGGGGGGGCGGCCCGTGTGGCACGGTGCCCTAGGGGCCCGACTGGCAGCGGTAGACGGGGCGGCGATGCGGTAGCCACATGTTACCGACGGGTCGAACCGACGCAGTGGTACCGCACAGCGCTGACTGCTGCTCTGTTAAAACAAACAAGTCCCATGCTGGCTCCGTGCTGGCTCCGTGCTGGCTCCGTGCTGGACCCGGTGTTGGCTCCGTGGAGCCGGTGGTGTGCGCCTGACAAGGCCGCGTGCAGAATTATTCCGCGCGATAATTGCGTGACGTCACCTTGGACATGCACAGCATGCCGTGGGGCCCGTCGGCTCTGCTTCGCCGTTGAGGACACGTGCCCAGGAGTTGTCGCCCGTGCGGTGGCGTGGCTGCGGCCTTCCTGCCTACGCCTCCCACCCTCCTCGCCAAAGGACGCAGCACACACCAGCCCGGATTATTTTGACCTCAGTTCCCACACTTGGGCTCTCCTCCACCGGCTCCCTGTCTATTATCGCCGTCTGTTGTTTACATTTCTCACTCGATAAATCCCTACACCTTATCTTGCTGTTTTCTTCCCTCGTTCTTGCTGCTTTCATCTCTTGCTCGGTTCCATGCCGCCCCCTCGCCGCTCCCAATCTCTACTGTCCCTCTCTGTGCCTCCCTCGCCCTGCGCCCAGTCGCGCTCTCTCGTTCCCTTTCCCTTCGTGCTCCCCTTCGCTTGATAACAAACTCACGCCGCAGCACGCAAAACCATCGTCGTCACCTCAACCTGCTTCCGTTCCTTCCCTTTAAGCAACCCCCCATTTCTTTTGCCCTCGCCCATAATGCTACTGCTGCTCCCTAAGCCTCACCCCCCAGCTACGACCAGGCCTACCCCTACTCCTGTCACTAACCCCTATCCCATTCACTACCCCAACCCCTATCACTACCCCTAACTGCTACTCTCTGCCCCCGTCGCCCAGCTACGACCAGGCCTACCCCAACCCCTATCACTACCCCAACCCCTATCACGACTATAACCACTATCATTACCCCTATCACTACCCCAACCCCTCCTTAACCAATCCCAGCTGTTTCCCTAACGGTCACCATAACTACACCACCGCTGTTAATAATGACCGGCACCCTTTACCTCAACCACTTTCATCTCATGTACAACTTTAGCATCGTTACACAGCACCTTCGTGCACCGTTTCACTCTCACGGCCTTAGTTTTACAGATATTTACTTTGGGTACATTTTTACATTTGGTTTTCGCCGTTGTAAAGCAACCCCACCTTGGAAGTAGTTCTCCGGTGTCTGCTTCTGTGGGCTGTTGCAAAGGAGGTGGGCAAAACATCCCGGTGCAGGATCCTACCTTGGCAGAGGTTCCCTGAGACTCGGCGGTGAGGTTTTGCCGGGCGAATAAAGTGCATGATCGTCATTATTATCGTGAACGAGTTTCTTGCACCCGCACCACCCCCCCCCCCCCCCCCGCAACTCCACCACCTCTGTCCTGCCAGCGGTAGAAATGGGTTCACTACAGTTAGTCCGCGATGGGCAGGACGCGTATGAGGTGGTGGGTGAAGTGCGGGTACTCCCACGACTTCTCTCCGTCCAGCGTGGAAGAACAGACCCCGATGACCTCGTCTGGAGGGCTTCTACATACAGTTCCCTCTTGCAGTCGAGGATGTTCTGCGTGCGGTGGCGTTTGCAAGCAATGGCAAATGCTGCACATGCTTTATAAACGCAAACATCATGCCGATGATGATGATGATGACGGCGGTGGGGGATGGTGGGCGGTCGTGCGGTGAGAGATCGAGCCGACCACGTTCGGCTCTTTTGTTGCCCCATAGAAACCGCTGATGTGGCTAAGGTCGTAGGTCAGGGCGAGCGAGTGGGTGAGGACAAAGGTGGGCAGACGATTACGACGAGCCAGTTTGATGCCCCGCTGGCAAGACGTTATCTGCCTCGCCTGGTATACAGGAGGTGGTGGGTTCAATCCCAACCCTCTCTCCCTCCCTCCCTCCCCGAGGATCGTGTGGATTTTTCTCCGGGTCCTCCGGTTTTCCCCCTCCACATTTAGAATCGACGTCGCGCGCTCAAGAGCAATTTGGCTGCCGCAATACATTTCCACGCGAAAAGCCACCCCGCCGAGCTGTCGTTCGTGATAGCCCGGTCGCTTCAGAAACAGAGCCACATCGCTCAAGTGGTAAGGTAAAATAATTGATTCTAGTTTCATGGTTTTAGACGCGCGCGAGAGGTTTCTGTCACGTGGCACGCGGCGGTGCTCGGAGGGCGGTCGCTCGGCAGGAAGGACGACGGTCGGCCACACCGACCGCTGTTGACCGTCATCGGGCGGGTTGGTCCTTGGGCGGGGGGGGACGCGCTGTCCGTCGCCGAGAATCCACGACCCCGGTCGAAGCCGGGGTCGCGCCACGGCGGCGGCCTGCATTGCCGCCGACGCACGCGCGGCAAAAGGCTTTCGAACACGACCTGTGATCGACATGGACGTGACCTCCCGTCGCAACCGATATGGACGATGATGAGGTTGGCCGTGCCCCGGAAATGTGGCTCGCTCGTAGTCGGGGTCGCGGCGTGGTTTTGCGTTAACCGCTAAACGCCACGCCCCACCTCACGTGGCCATTTTTTACCATTCTAATAAATAAAGAACCGTCCTCATTGTGCAAGTCTACGCAAGTCCCGCGGTCTCGGTGCGTGTCTGTGGCATGGCTTAATTCCGCCCAAATGGGGTCACCCACCGTTCCCCACCGACCGTAGTCGACGCCTGGATGTGTTTCTCAAGTCGGCACGGGGGTCCGTTATCGGAACCGTGCAGCAGCTTCTCGCGATAAAGTTCAGCGCAGCAACACCGGGACCCGATCTCGGCGCAAATCGACTCCTGCCACCCGGACACACATGTTAGTCCACAGACCGTCCCGGCGTAACACGGGACTGTTGGCAACCCTACTTGCTAACCATTGCACCACCATTTCACGGGTCTAATAAGTTGTGGAGGAGGGCAGTAACGCGTAGGGGGGGGGGGGGTGCAAATAAGCTTCCGAGCGCAAACTCCTTGTCAGCGTTTCAGCGTGGATACACCCTATGTAATATATGCGTAGTCAAACGGAAGTCTGGAATGCGTTGTGAGTCTGTGTTGGTCTATGAGCGAATGAGCACAATCTGTCCACGGAGCATGGACAGACTGGGGCTGACACTGACTGCAGACACCGTACTCCCGTGTTGAGGACTCAATCTACCAGACGAATTGTTTAACGGCCACATTGCAATATCAGCAACACACCCACCCACCCATTCACTCATCCACCCATTCACTCACCCACCCACCCATTCTCTCACCCAACCACCCATTCACTTGTGCAGCGACACACCTATTCACTCACCCACCCACGCATTCACTCACCCACCCACTCATTCACTCACCCACCCTCTCACTCACCCACCCTCTCACTCACTCACCCACCCACCCACCAACGCACTCATCCACCTACTCATCCACCCACCCACTCATCCACCCACCCTCTCACTCACCCACCTACCCACGCATTCACTCACCCACCCACCCACTCATCCACCCACCCTCTCGTCGTTTTCTGTTCCCAAGATCTCATAGTGAGTAACCTCCCTCAATTTCAGAAACGTGTCACACTCTTGCCCATCGCAACTTTGACGGTGCCGTCCATTGCTGGCCGCTCTATAGATTGTCCCACTTTTGGCCTGCGCTCGGCATCCGCGTTTACAAACCAAAAAAAATGAACGTTTGACTATTCCTGTACGCACGTATGCATGTTGAACTTCTTTCGCGCCGTACGTAGACGACCGTGCCAATTCCCGTCTCTCGTCTCCAGGCGGACCGCGGCTCGGGCCTCGCCGTCGCTGTGGCGGAGCTCCCTCCTCCTCCTCTGCCGGCGCCGGCGGCACCGGCGGCGTGCCCCCAGTCCCGGCGGCGCTGCGGGGGCAGCGGAGGGCGACCGTAGCCGCCCCCCCCCCTCCAGCCGTGCCAGCCAACCGGACCCCCCCCCTCTCCTTATGCCGATGTTAGCCTGCCTGGGCGTCATGGCCGCCACCAGAGACGGCAGGGTGAGCGCCGGCAGCAGCGGCAACGACAGCGGCGACGGCGGCGGCGGCGGAGGAGGAGGAGGTGGGCACGGCGGCCGCGGCGACAACGGCGACGGCCGGGCCGCGCCGCTGCCCAACGGCGGCTCGGCGTCGCTGCACCGCTCCGGATCGGTGAACGAGGGGGCGGCGGCGGCGGCGGCGCCGGCGCCGTGGTGGGAGCTCGACGAGGCGGCCGTGAGCCAGAGTTGGCCGCGCGAGCAGCCCGGCCTGCACGTGCGGCTCTACCACGACCTGCAGGAGGCGCAGTTTCTCTCCTTCCCGCCCGGCGAGTACGTCGCCGAGGAAATCTGCGCCTACGTGGCACGCACGAGAGGTGAGCGGGGAGCGGGTGGGGGAGCGGGATGGGGATGGGGTTCGTTGGATTCGTTTTCGTGGACGTTTCCCAATGCTGCTTTTCCATTCTAGATTTGAAGCTTTCGTGACTGCAAGGATTCATATTCTTAGGTTTTTTCGGTAAAGTCACGTAGGTACAAAATTAATAAAAGTAAAATAAAAATAAAATAATGATCACGACGTTTCGGAGGCAACACAAGCTTCCGTCTTCAGGTGGAACTGTCACAGCACGATAGCTGAACCAGAAAAAACCTAAGAATATGCTTTTCCATTGGCACGTCCGAGCCGTGCCAGCGCGGGGCCACCGAGTTTCAAGTTGGTTTCGTTCGGCCGGCGGAGAACTGTCGAGAGTCCCGTTCGTGTGAGTGTGACCTGGGCAACCACAGTGACGACAGCGATAACAGTTGCAACTAAGCTGTTGGAAATCGGAGATGTAAAAAAAAAAAAAAATTCGAACCTTTCGCGTAAGAAGAAATCGCGAAATAGTGCACAAACTCGACGTCAAATCAAAACGACGTTCGCTAATGAAGTCCCTCGCGGTACGGGTGGCCGAACCGGGACTGAACCGCGATACGGCGGCCTCGTGACGGCACGTCTGAATGTGGCCGGGGGCCAGGGGCACGTGGTTCATGATCATCAACATCGTAGTCGCATCCCCTCCACGCGGCGATGATGCGTGCTTTTAGCCGAGCGTGTGCCCGACCGCGGCGATGAGAGAAGCGCTGCCGAGGTCACGTGCAGGTCTAGGAAGGGCAGACTAAAACCCCTCGCGTGTTTATGTGGCGACACGAAGCGGGGGGGGGAAGGGGCGGGGAGGGCTGCTGATTTTTGCCGTATGCCATCGCCGCGATCGTCTCCGGTAACCGCTAACGACGTTTGGCCCCTTTTTTCGATACGTGCCGTAAAAGCTTCGGAGAGAGGGAGGGAGACCGAGCCGGGCAAGCGCGCATCTTATCGTGCGGGCCGCGAGCCGCGAGCCGCACTGCGTCGTCGCCGCCATGGCGATTGAGATTCCGCCGTTTTGTTTTTCGCCACCACGATGGCGATGCGATTTTATAGTCGCCCCGCTGCAATAGGGGACCGTCCCGAGGCGGCAGGGGGTCCCGGTGGGGCCGGGCCGCCGGGGTCGAGGGTTCAACGGCCGCGCTTTTCCTCGGCAAGAGGTGCGGCGGCGCGGGACGAGGCCCGCTTTCTCCTCGTGTGACGCGGCACCGGAACGGGCGCCGTGGCGCCGGTGCTGGCGTGCTGCGGCCGGTGCGGTGGACGCGGGGGTTGGCGGATCGCTGGAGGATTTTACATTGAACAATAACAAAAGTTTTGAAAACATGGGACCTTTTTTTTGCCAGTAAAAAAAGGTCCCATGTTTGCAATAAAACACAAGGTGTGTTCAAACACCAAATACGTACTTTGGTGAACATGCAAACAAACACGCTCTGATAATATATATGCATTGTCCTTGAAACTGATTGGCCTACGCCAGAGACAAACACATAGAGACCCATAGAGATACGCAGAGCCTCGGAGACACATAGAGACCCATAGAGATACACAGAGACTCGGAGACACATAGAGACCCATAGAGATACACAGAGACTTGGAGACAGAGACACACAGAGATGCACAAAGACTCGGAGACACATAGAGACCCATAGAGATACACAGAGACTTGGAGACAGAGATACGCCGAGATGCACAAAGACTCGGAGACATGGAGAGACCCATAGAGATACACAGAGACTCATAGAGACCCATAGAGATATATAAAGGGTCATACATATACACAGACCTACAGAGATACATAGAGAAACGTAGAGATACATTAAAGACAAGCCACAGTAGCGCGATTGTGGCCACGCAACCAAAACTATGGACCTAATAATAAATCCATCGAGACACATGGATTTACATTGAGACCCATACAGTTGAGTTTGGAGCATGGAAGTATAGTACAACAGGTAATCATCACACACACGCATCACATTGACCCTAGCAAGGGCGATATCTGGCGGTCGAATCCATCTGTGGAGTGACGGCCAAATGAGGGAACAGCTGTCCTGTGACAGCGATAAATAACGTGAATCAAGCGCCGTTATTGCTCGGGAAAGCCTCACTGGGGTCACGTGACCTTTTTTTTAGGAAGGTCCCCACTACTTTGGGATGCTGGGCCAATCCCGCGAGTGTGGGAGTGAACCGGAGACAACCCGGCATGCGTAAAAACAGCACTCAAAAGAACTCAACCCTCGCTGAGCGTCTGCGATCCCACGAGGTTGGGAGGGTGAGATCAGAGCCCAATTAGTCGCAAGGAATTGCATTTACACAGACAGGAGCACATTTGCAGAGTGCAGCCCAAAAATAAGGAGTGTTTACAGAGTGCACCCTCAAAGGAGCGCATTTACAGAGTGCACCCAGAAAGAAGGAGCACATTTACAGAGTGCAGCCCAAAAAAAGGAGCGCATGTACAGAGTGCACCCACAACGGAGGACATTTACAGTGCATCCCATAAATAAGGAGTACATTTACAGACAGAGGAGCACAGTGGCAGGGTGCATCCATCGGAAATTGCGAAGCACTTGCACATCTTGCAAAGGAAACGTTTCAACAGAAAGGCACTTGAGGTGCGCACGTTTGGGAGCATACGAAGAAGTGTTACCGTAAGCCCCATTAATGAGGTCAACTGTATTATTGCAGCGAGTGGAAAGTTATTGCTTGGCTCCCGCGGGTGTTGGGCTCAGGCTGCGGCCCAGTGTGGTCGGGACATTTTTTTTTTTTTAACGAAAGATATTTCTGACAGGGTCATGAGCGAGAGTAAGGGCCAGCAGATATCCTGTTATTGGGCTGCGGGGACAAGCGAGATAAGGCGGCCAAGCACTCGGGCAGCACGAACCCCGCACGCTGAGCGGGGGACTTCCTTTACAGTTAATTTCGGTGTTTTATCTCCGCTCGTAAGCTCAGCGGATCGCTCATTTTCGCAGCGCTGTTTTTATGGCGCCGCGTCCGACGTTTCGCGCCCGGCGCCGCGCGGGTCGTGGGAGTTGTTTGTCCGTACTTCACCGCGCTGGTCAGCGAGGGTTGTCGAAGGCGGGGGTGGGGCAGCCACAGAGCGTCCAGTGCACGTGACGACAAAGTTCGGGCAAATGGGGCGCAACGTCAGACATCGTGCTGGACATTGTTAATATTATTGCTCATTCGGAGCATTTCTCTTCCCTCCTTTGGCTGCCACTCCGCCACTTGCCTCGACCACCGCCGCAGCAGACGTTCCCTTCCGCCCCGTTCTCTGCTGTCCCCCAAGACTGCCTTTCTTAGCAATTGATACGACGCGTGTGTAATGATAATCCGCCGTTGTACTGCGCTTCTGCGCGCTCCCAAATCTACGCTCGGCGCATCCACCAGCCCCGCGATAAACCGGAACGGAGGTAGCGACCGTCTCTTGTGATCTCCGCGCAATGCGTGCTCCGTGCGGTCCGTCGAGCGATCCACCGATTCCCACGTCGGCTGCTCGACCGTGCAATGGGTGAGGCCTGACCTGGGGGCCTGGTGCCCTCTCGTCGTCCTCGCTCGGTTTTTAGCGGCGGAGAGCGGGCCGCGTGACACACGACACACGATACGCGATTTCAACAACGAAATCTCGAGCCGCAGCCTCCAGAATCAAGATCAGCGAAATCACACGCGGGGGTCGAGGCCTTCTTTACACAATAGCCTGCGCGGCCGCGGCAGGTTTCGTAACCCGGGATTGCGTGGTTGCGTGCGTCCATGCGTGAATGCGTATGTCCGTGCGTGCGTCCGTTGTGAGGGCGCCAGCAGTTCCCTGCGGGTGTCTGGGCAGTCCCATCGGTCTCTCCAGATGCGGCGAAGAAACGGCTCCCTCCCTGGCCGCCGCGGTGAAGTATGGTGAAACAAATATCCGTGACCAAACAAGGCACGGCGAGGCCTTCATCCTGCAGTGGATGGTTATTTATTCACATTTTTAAAGACACCACCACTACCACCGCCAACATTCGCGGTGGTTTTGAGTGCGCGTGTTTTTTCTCGCTCAACCGCCGCCATCTCTTGCCGATATCTCTCCTCCAAATCTCGCGATGTGCCAGCGCCATCACCCCTGGTCTGCAATCCCCGACTCGTTCGAGGGCATCGCTGACACCGCAAGTGACACGCGCAGGTGTCACTGCTGCATGCGCAGGTGTCATTGCGCAATGCCCCTGTGGGGTGGAGCGGTGGCGCAGCAGTTGGCGCACACGGCGCCACCAACCCAGCGACTCGAGTTCAATTCCCAGCCATGGCTGACATCAGTGGCGTTGACACGAAACCGGTCGTGGGTTGACCCCGCGGCCTTAAATTAGCATCTGGTTAGATGTGTAAAAGCGTCTGCGTCGGGGAGAGAAAGACAGCCGCCGGGTGTGGTGCCGGCAACACTACCGGGTCTTAATCGGTGCTCGCTTAAAACAGCACTGGCCCCAGCAGTCTATGAAAGGATGGTGGAGGCCTCTTGACTGGGTAACAAGAATCAGTGCATGCAGCCGGCTGGCTCGGCATGAGAGAACTAGCGGCTCACAATCTTATTAACTATACGAAAACTGTAATGCCCACTCAGCTATATTAGCTCTTTTTCAGAAGTGACCTGGCCACAAATGATAGCCCAACAAAGTGGCTTATCGCGTGGAATTTTAAAGCGGCCAAATACTCCAAACGCGCGTTTCTTAAACGTGGAGGGAAAAAATACTGAAGAACTGGAGAAAAATCCCCGCACGATCACGCGGAGAACATGCAAACTCCAAATATACAGGCGTCTGGATCAAACCCACGACCTCCTGTATACCAGGCGAGGTCATTAACATCTCACCACCGTGGCGCAATCGCAATGTTGTGACTTCAATCCGGATTGTGGGGGTGCTAACTCGGCCCATCATTTTCCACCACTGGCTCTGCGGGGCTGTGAACGGAAGCTGAGCATCACTTTGACAGTCGCACTCCCTTGGGCCGCGG